TGGTTTCGCCGATAACATGGAGGAGCTGAAGGAGCTTTGCACCAAAGCCTTTGCTGCCAGTCCCCAGGTTCTTATTGAGCGGAGTATGAAGGGCTGGAAGGAAATCGAGTACGAAGTTGTTCGTGATTGCAGGGACAACTGTATCACCGTCTGTAACATGGAGAACTTTGATCCTCTAGGTATCCATACTGGTGATTCCATTGTTGTCGCTCCTTCCCAGACCCTCTCGGACGAGGACTACAACATGCTGCGTACAACTGCAGTCAACGTCATCCGTCACCTCGGCGTTGTTGGTGAATGTAACATCCAGTATGCCCTCAACCCCTTCTCGAAGGAGTACTGCATTATTGAGGTCAACGCTCGTCTCTCGAGATCTTCGGCCCTTGCTTCTAAGGCCACTGGATATCCCCTTGCCTTCATTGCGGCCAAATTGGGTCTCAACATTCCTCTCAATGAGATCAAGAACTCTGTGACCAAGGTCACTTGCGCTTGCTTTGAGCCTTCGCTGGATTACTGCGTTGTCAAGATCCCTCGCTGGGATCTGAAGAAGTTCACCCGTGTCTCCACTCAGCTTGGATCCTCCATGAAGAGTGTTGGTGAAGTCATGAGCATCGGAAGAACCTTCGAGGAAGCGATTCAGAAGGCCATTCGCTCCGTTGACTTCCATAACATGGGTTTCAACGAGACGAACGCTCTCATGTCCATCAAGGGCGAGCTGCAGACGCCCTCTGACCAGCGTCTGTTCGCGATTGCCAACGCCATGGCAGCTGGTTACAGTGTTGATGAAATCTGGAAGCTCACCTCGATTGACAAGTGGTTCCTGAGCAGACTCAAGGGTCTCAGCGATTTCGGAAAGCTTATGACCTCGTACAATGCTACCACTGTGCCTAGACCCCTGATCAAGCGCGCCAAGCAGCTTGGTTTCTCCGATCGTCAGCTGGCTAAGTTTTTGAGCTCCAACGAGCTCGCTGTCAGACGTCTACGTGTGGAGTCTGGCATCGTTCCGATCGTCAAGCAGATCGATACGGTCGCTGCCGAGTTCCCCTCGTTCACCAACTATCTGTACCTCACTTACAATGCTTCTGAGCACGACGTGAACTTCAACGACAATGGTATCATGGTTCTCGGCTCGGGTGTCTACCGCATTGGTTCCTCTGTTGAGTTCGATTGGTGCTCTGTGCGTACCATTCGTACCTTGCGCGAACAGGGCCACAAGACTGTTATGGTCAACTACAACCCTGAAACTGTCAGTACCGATTATGATGAGGCCGATCGTCTGTACTTCGAGAATATCAACCTTGAGACCGTTCTGGATATCTACCAGCTGGAATCCTCCAGCGGTGTCATCATCTCTATGGGTGGCCAGACCCCGAACAACATCGCTCTGCCTCTCCACCGCTTGAACGTCAAGATCCTCGGTACTTCTCCTGAGATGATTGATGGTGCTGAGAACCGTTACAAGTTCTCTCGCATGCTGGACCGTATCGGCGTCGATCAGCCAGCCTGGAAGGAATTGACTAGCATCGATGAGGCTACTGAGTTCTGTAACAAGGTCGGCTACCCCGTGCTTGTGCGTCCCTCTTACGTGCTGTCGGGTGCGGCCATGAACACTGTCTACTCCGAGCATGATCTGGCCAGCTACCTCAACCAGGCTGCTGATGTCTCGCGCGAGCACCCCGTCGTTATCACCAAGTACATTGAGAACGCAAAGGAGATCGAGATGGATGCTGTCGCTCGTAACGGTGTTATGGTCGGACACTTCATCTCCGAGCACGTTGAGAACGCCGGTGTCCACTCTGGTGACGCTACCTTGATCCTGCCTCCTCAGGACTTGGACCCTGAAACCGTCCGCCGCATTGAAGAGGCCACCAGAAAGATTGGTAATGCTCTCAATGTCACCGGTCCTTACAACATCCAGTTCATTGCCAAGGACAACGATATCAAGGTCATCGAGTGCAATGTGAGAGCTTCCCGCTCTTTCCCCTTCGTGTCCAAGACTATGGGTGTCGACCTCATCGAGATGGCCACCAAGGCCATGATCGGAGTGCCCTTCGCCGAGTATCCTCCTGTCTCCATTCCTAAGGACTACGTCGGTGTGAAGGTTCCTCAATTCTCCTTCTCTCGCCTCTCTGGTGCCGACCCTGTTCTGGGTGTTGAGATGGCCTCGACCGGTGAAGTTGCTTCTTTCGGACGTGACAAGTATGAGGCTTACCTCAAGGGCTTGATCTCCACTGGTTTCCGTCTTCCCAAGCGCAACATTCTCTTCTCCATTGGATCCTACAAGGAGAAGATGGAGATGCTCCCATCCATTCGCAAGCTTCACCAGTTGCAGTACAACCTGTTTGCCACAGCTGGTACTGCTGATTTCCTTAAGGAGAACGGCATTCCCTGCAAGTTCCTTGAAATCCTGCCTGGTGAAGAGGAAGACATCAAGTCCGAGTACTCTCTCACTCAGCACTTGGCCAACAACCTCATCGATCTGTACATCAACTTGCCGTCGAACAACCGCTTCAGACGCCCTGCCAACTACATGAGTAAGGGTTACCGTACTCGTCGTATGGCCGTTGACTACCAGACTCCTCTGGTCACCAACGTCAAGAACGCCAAGATCCTGATCGAGGCCATTGCTCGCCACTACGACCTCGCTGTCCGTACTCTGGATTACCAGACTAGCCACCGCACTATCATCCTTCCCGGCTTGATCAACGTTGCCGCTTTTGTTCCTGGCCTGGTCACTCCCGGCTCCGCTGATTTCGAGCTCATGACCAAGGCTTCCATTGCCTCCGGTTTCAGCATGGTGCGCGTCATGCCCGTGGGTGTTGATGCCTCGGTTACCGAAGCGGCCGCGCTCAAGGTTGTCCAGAAGAACGCCCAGAAGGGTGCCTTCTGTGACTTCAACTTCTCTGTTTCGGCGACTTCGACTAACGCTGACCAGATCGGCCAGTTGACTGGAGATGTCGGTGCTCTCTTCATTCCCTTCAACCACCTTTCCGGTAACATCAGCAAGGTCGCTGCTGTCACTAGCCACTTTGCTGCTTGGCCTTCTAGCAAGCCCATCATCACCGATGCTAAGTCTACGGACTTGGCCTCTGTGCTGCTCCTGGCTAGTCTTCACAGCCGCAACATCCATGTGATGAACGTGACTTCGAAGGAGGACATTACCCTGATCGCTCTGAGCAAGGAGAAGGGTCTCAAGGTGACATGCGATGTGTCTATCTTCTCCCTCTTCTTCTCCAAGGATGACTACCCCGAGTCCTTCTTGCCCTCCGCTGAGGACCAGAATGCCTTGTGGGAGCACTTGAGCACCATTGATGTCTTCTCCATTGGTAGCATTCCATTCCAGATGGCTGGTGATAAGGGCTCTGCTGTCGTTGGTGTCGCTGAGTCCTTGCCTCTGCTCTTCACCGCCGTTGCCGAGGGCCGCCTGACTATCGAGGACATCATCGCTCGCCTTTACGAGAACCCTAAGAAGATCTTCGAGATCCACGACCAGGCTGACAGCTCGGTTGAGATTGAGATTGACCGCCCTTACACTTTCCAGAGTCCTCATGGCTGGTCCCCCCTCAATGGCAAGAATGTCCGTGGTGCTGTGCAGCGTGTGACATTCCAGGGCAAGACCTCTTGCCTCGATGGCGCGCTCACCTCGGACGCCCCTAAGGGAGTTGACATGTCTACTCACCGGATTGCCCCTGCTTCCCCGTCTGTGAAGGCTATGTCTCCCATGGTTCGCGCTCGCCCGGAGAGTTCGTTTGACCGGAGACTCTCCGTCTCTGGCACTCCTCTGCGCCAAGCCCGCCGCGCTGCCGAACAGGCTGCTCCTGCGGTTGGTGAACTCGGCCCTCCCCTGTACACCCCCGTGCCTCAGGTCTCCTCTTCCTTGATGGACATGCTTTCCCGCTCTCCCTTCAAGCAGAAGCATGTGCTTTCGGTGAACCAGTTCACTCGCGCCGATCTGCACTTGCTCTTCACCGTGGCCCAGGAGATGCGGTTGGGTGTGCAGCGCCAGGGTGTGCTCGACATTCTCAAGGGTCGTCTGCTGACTACCTTGTTCTACGAGCCCTCCACCAGAACCTCCGCCTCTTTCGACGCTGCCATGCAGCGCCTTGGTGGACGGACGATTGCCATCTCCACTGAGCACTCTTCCACCAAGAAGGGCGAGACCCTCCAGGATACTCTGCGCACTCTTGCTTGCTACGGAGACGCTGTTGTTCTGCGTCACCCTGATGCTAACAGCACTGAGATTGCGGCCAAGTTCTCTCCCGTTCCTGTCATCAACGGCGGAAACGGCAGTGTTGAGCACCCCACTCAGGCCTTCTTGGACCTCTTCACCATCCGTGAGGAGCTTGGAACTGTCGGAGGCCTCACCATCACCTTCACCGGTGATCTGAGATACGGCCGCACTGTCCACTCTCTGCTCAAGTTGCTCCAGTTCTACGACGTCCGGGTGCAGCTTGTTGCCCCCAAGGAGCTGTCTCTGCCCGAGGAGGTCCGCCAGCAGATTGTTGCCTCTGGCCAGCTTGTCGTGGAGTCCGAGGAGCTGACCCCTGAGATTGTCGCTCGCTCCGATGTTCTGTACTCGACCCGTGTCCAGAAGGAGCGCTTCGCGGATCTCGAGCAGTACGAGCGCCTGAAGAACACCTTCGTCATTGACAACGCTCTTCTCAAGCACGCCAAGAGCCACATGGTTGTCATGCACCCCTTGCCTCGCAATGCTGAGATCTCGGAGGAGGTTGACTTCGACCAGCGGGCTGCTTACTTCCGCCAGGTTAGTGTTGCTTGGCCGTCTAATATGTTTGAATATCCGCTGACTTGGACACAGATGAGATATGGCCTTTACTGCCGCATGGCTCTGCTTGCCTTGGTCATGGCACCCTAGGTCATTTCTGGGATGATGTACGATATGCGAGCAAACCACAGGATATCTGTGCTCTCACAGATCTGACTGGCGACCTCGATTATCATGTGTTTCCTATTTGTTTTTTCCCGTCTCGGCATTGGCTTTGCTTTCGAAAAGTTATTCAATGTCATTACATACACCGCGTAGGCTATTTGCGAGGCATATAGAGATGCTCGCGTGTTAGATTAGATTTAATTTTCCCTATTTTCCAATTATACGATCCCGTTATGTGTATGGATTGTATTCTGTGTTTGTGTTGTGTTTTGCGTGTGGTGTGCGTGTGGTGTGTGGTGTGTGTGATGTGTGTGGTGTTCGTTGCGTTCGTTGCGTTTTGTGTGTTTTATGTGTTTGGCGTGTTTCTGGCGTGTTTTCTTTGTTTTTTGACTCATTTTCTGTTTTCCCTGTTTCTTCTTCTTTCTCTTTCTCTTCCTTTTTCTTGGGAGTTATTGGGATTTGGGATTTGGGATTTGGGATTGGGAAGGACAATTGGCGTTGATGAAAAGATCGGCTGGATGGCCATCTTCGGGCGGGACTGGATTCCCCAAAACTTTATACCCCTGGGACGACAACTTGGCTACGACTACAACTACAACTATACTATAATTACCACGACTACTACCACGACAACTACAACCACTATTACTACAACTTGTGGTGCTCGATGGCCCTGCTGCTAGCAGCAATCAATCAATCAATCAATATAATCATCACTTTTCCTGAATTATACTCCATTTCTTTGTTAGACTTGCTTGTTGCACCTTGACACTTATCTCATTGTCAAAGCATAAGCAGAAATCGCGTTTGTTATAGCACCTTCTGCTGTGTTGCTCGTGATTCGAGGGATTTCAGATTATTGTCAAGCATTGAAGCACGGAAGTACTAGTAACGGGGGCTAAATTACCCATTGCGGACTCCGACGATAAGAGCCGGGCGATGCATACGATCATCAGTCGGTGTCATCCATGATGCAGGTGGCTTCCCCTCCTTTTTGCTTTGTTCCTTTCGTCTTTCCCATCTTCTCCCCCCAAATCCGATGATGGATCGAATATCAGTGCCATCAAATTGCTCGCTCGATGCAGACAATGTTTTTGGGCCCGTAGTGCCCTTGGGTTGTCGCAATGGCTTCGACTTCACGCTTCTCTTCGAACAGAGCATCCTCGGGGTTCTTCCTGCGGCGGTCTTCTTGCTGGCCTCTCCGCTACGAGTTGGCTACCTCATCAAGAAAGATGCACGAACCCAGCGCAATTCTCCACGGTTTGTCAAGCTAGTAAGGCACTTCATCACCAAGACAACCAATCCTATTTGGAACTCATACGAGTGACAGGCCGTGACCCTGACTTTTGCTCTAATCCAACTCGCGCTTCTTGTGTGCTGGACCCGTCATGATTTACCTCGCACCAAAGCCTCGGTGCCGTCAGCCTCGATCAATTTCATTGTCGCAATGGAGCTTCTCGTGTTAAGCTGGTTAGAAGATGGCCGATCGGCCACACCTTCTTCACTTCTCACTGCCTACCTCCTCCTTACCTTGCTATTCGACATACTCCAGGCCCGCACTCTATGGCTACGTCTCCCAGAGACCATGCTCCTTTCTGTGCTCTTCACGATCAGCGTAGGGTCTAAGATGGTAATGCTCCTGCTCGAGAGTCTTGAGAAGCGACAGTACCTGACAGACACCTATCGAGATCTACCCCCTGAATCTACCAGTGGAATCATCAACCGGTCGTTCATGTGGTGGCTGAATCACATGTTTACTGTTGGATCACGACGTCTATTAACGATCGATGATATGTATAGTCTCGACCAGGCGCTGAATTCGGCAACTGTCAGCGAAAGGGCCCAGCGTGTTTGGGCCCAGCGCAGGATCCCAGCACGGCGTTTTGAATTCCCGTGGAAATTATGTCAAGCGCTGTGGAAGCCTCTGCTGATGGCAGTATTTCCACGGATGTGTCTAATCGGCTTCACCTTTGCGCAGCCTTTCCTGATCGCCGCGCTTCTTGATTGGCTTGGCAGTGGACAAAGCACCGAACGAGGCCACGGTCACATTGCCGCCACACTCCTGGTGTATCTAGGCCTAGCGATCTCTACCCTTCACTCCAATCACCTTCTGTATCGCTTTATTACCATGTTCCGAGGAGCAGCCTCCTCGCTGGTGTACGAGCATATGCTGTATATTCCGGATGGAAAGCTAGAGGACCGGTCAGCCGCGATCACTCGAATGACCACCGATATTGATCGGATATCTGCGTGCCTTGTCCAGCTGCATGAATGCTGGGCACGCATCATCGAGGTAGCCATTGGAATTTCCCTACTCACGCTCCGCCTAGGGTGGGTAAGTGCGATTCCTGTTATAATCGTCATATGTAGGTGAATCCCACAATACACCTAGACAGGAGCTTCGACTAATCCCTATGGATAATAGTCTCTAGCCTTGCCTGCACCTACATATCGAAGAATATCGGGAACCGCCAAAAGATCTGGGTGGATGCGGTGCAACAGCGCCTTGCAATCATCACTTCAATGCTTACCGACATCCAAGTCGTGAAGCGAATGGGGTTAAGCAGGGCTTTTACTGACACCATCCAGAAGAAACGGGTCAGCGAGACGCAGCAGATGTCCTCCTTTCGATGGCATATTGTGTGGCAGAACATGATCCAGAATCTACCTTGGGCATTGGCTCCTGCGCTGACATTTACAGTTTTTGCTGTGCAAGGCCACTCGCTCGATTTCAGCAAGATATTCACCAGTCTGTCTATAGTCACACTTCTGACTAACCCGGCCGCAAAGCTTCTGAGCGCCATCCCCTCAACGGCAGCCTCCTTGGGTTGTTTCGATAGGATTCAAAGCTTTCTTCTGATACCTGCCGAAAACAACCTGTTGCAAGACAGTCAAGAAATTATGATGGCCAATAATGCTTGTACTGAATCAATGCCTGAGGCTGCAGAACAGACCCCATCGCTCATTGTCAATCCTACCACCACAGACTCTCTAGTTGTGGCTTTTGAAAATGCTAGCATCCGCCCGGACCCTGAGGGCAGAGTTTTGCTGAACCAAATCAACCTTCAGGTACCTCGGGGTGCGATTCTCACTATCCGCGGACCGGTGGGATCAGGGAAATCTACTCTTCTCCGAGCTATTCTCGGCCAAGTTGTATGCGAGACGGGGTCGGTGAGTTTGACTACTCGTCGCATAGCTTATTGCGCGCAGAGAACGTGGTTGCCAACTACCACCATACGAAACGCAATATGTGCGATAGTCACAACAGAGAAGGAAAGCTCGCGGAGTATCGATCACGAATGGTACGGTACCGTGCTTCGGGCCTGTGCTCTCGACGAGGACCTGCACCTTATCCCAGAAGGAGATGGCATGCAGATCGGCAGTGGCTTGGGTGCGAGATTAAGTGGCGGACAGATGGATCGAGTCGCTCTGGCTCGGGCAGTGTATGCTCGAAAGGATCTTGTTATCTTGGATGACGTTCTCAGTGCATTGGACACAAATACCAAGGGCCTGATACTTGAACGGTTGTTTGGGGAAAGGGGTGTTTTTCGGAAGCTCAATTCGACAGTGATTCTCGTTACGCATGACAGTAAGTGCAGTACGGCAACCGTTGACTTCGCTGGCTTTGTGGTTAACCCTTCTCTAGCTGCATCTCTTGCTTATGCCGATAAGACCCTAGTAATTTCTAATGATTCACTCGAAGTGGACGACTGTGGTGACATTATTTCTCCCGAGCCGCTTGATCATGATACGATAGACACACCAAGGGGTAGCAAAGAAAACAATATCCTCATGCCTAAAGAGGATGCAGCGCAAATCGCCAAGGATAATCAGCTCAGTGACTTGAAGCGGTCAACAGGTGACTATCAAGTGTACAAATATTATCTGCGTTCGATTGGGTGGTCAAGTTATCTGCTATTCCTTCTTTTCGTGATTCTTAATGTTTTCTGCAGTACCTTTAGCCGTACGTTGCCTCCAGTCCTACCACATCTTTGTCCTCTAATCCTTGCTTCTAGAGATATGGCTGGAAAGATGGACTAGCCGAGGGGGAGAACAGAGAGCGCTCTACGTGACAGTCTACATTATGCTGGCTTTATTGGAAGTCATATGTATGGGTGGTTATGTCTGGTAAGTCAGCTACACTACGGCTTCTATGGTGTGAGCTTACCTGAAACTAGGGCAATCTTGATACTCATATCGCCATCCACCGCACGCAAGCTTCACTATGTTGTCCTAAAGACTGTCATGGGGTATGTACATGTGCTTCGATGCCTTGTTCCAGGTTATCCCTCGCTAACTGGCATCAGAGCGTCTCCTACCACGCTTGCAACCATGGATAGTGGCGCACTTCTGAATCGATTTAGCCAGGACATGACTTTGATTGAGAGTCAACTACCCGTTGGCCTTCTGGTCACGGTTTCAAGTAAGCTATCACCCGTTATGCAGGTAGTAGCTGCAACCCCCCAGCGGGCGGACAGAAACTATATCTGCCAGGATAGCATACTGACAACGTATAGACCTTTTCACCGCAATCGCTGCTGCTGCACTCATTGCAACCGGCTCGACCTGGATGGCTATCACTGTGCCGTTCCTCATTGCGGCAGTGTTTGTGGTGCAGCATTACTATCTGAAGACATCGCGACAGCTTCGACTTCTCGATCTAGAAAGCAGGAGCCCGCTATATTCTCATTATATGGATACTATGAATGGCCTCAGTACAATCCAGGCCTTCGGCTGGCAGAAGAGGTTCTCTGAGAAGAGCTCTAAGCTTTTAGATGTGTCTCAGCGGCCGTATTACTTGCTGTACTGCATTCAAAGGTGGCTCGCTCTGGTCTTAGACCTGATTGTTGCTGCCGAAGCGGTTCTCCTTGTGAGTCTGACCGTCAACCTGAGGGCAGCGACTAGCATTGGACTTTTGGGTGTCTCGCTCAACAACATTCTCTGTGTGTCTACCTACTTGATTTCATGTCTATTCCATGTTCACGAATTAACATACGCGCTGAGAAGCTTTCAACCAGAGCCTCTCGTCTCTGATCACAGGGTGGACGCAGCTCGAGATCTCCCTTGGTTCTATTGCCCGCACCAAAGATTTTGAACGGGATACTCAGCCCGAAGAAACCCCTAAGAACGACAGCGTTCCTGCTTCCTGGCCCGACCGCGGCGCGATCGAGTTCAAAGCGGTAACAGCGCAGTACAAGTACGCAAGCCAAACCTCCAACCCAGATTATGGAAATAGTCACTGATCAGCACCCTCCAGCCCCACAGCTCCCATCCTAAAAGACGTGTCTTTCAAAGTGCGACCCGGACAAAAGATCGGGATCTGTGGTCGCACCGGCAGGTTAGTTCTTTCGCTTTCACTCTCCACCTCATCCGGCTCTCGAGTCCACCGTGTCCATTTCTCACATGCCCCTTGACCAACAGCGGCAAATCCTCCCTCCTCGGCACAATCCTCGGCATGCTCGACCTAACGAGCGGCTCGATCCTAATCGACGACGTCGATTTAACCAGCATCTCGCGCGAGACCGTCCGCGAACGCCTGGTCACCATCGCCCAAGACCCCCTCATTCTAGCCGGATGCACCGTCCGGCTTAACGCCGACCCCACCCCCGGCAACAGCCATCCCGATGCAGAGATCATCGCCGCCCTGGACCGCGTGGGCCTCTGGCACGGCGTGCTCGCCGAACGCAGCGGGGGCTTGGACGCCGAGCTCGGCGCCGACACGCTCTCCCGCGGCCAGACGCAGTTGCTCGGGATCGCCCGGGCGATGCTCCAGCTGCAGCGCGACGGTGCCAGAGTTTTGTTATTGGATGAAGCCACGAGTCATGTGGATGGGGAGACGGAGGCGCGGGTGCAGGCGCTGTTACGGGAAGAGCCGTTCCGGTCGTGCTCGGTGCTGGCGGTGGCGCATCGGGTGGAGAGTATCAGGGATTATGACAGGGTTGTTATGCTGGAGCGGGGGCGGGTGGTTGATGTCGTTCCAGGAAATTGAAGATGCAGGGTGGTGGTGGTGGTGGTGTTTAGGGTATCCCGCGCACATTGCCCTACAAACGTAAACACAGTCTCCGTACATATGTGTCAAACCTATATACACACCTCCAACTCCCCCACAACATGACCCGAACCATACTCGTAGAAACTCAAGTCTGAAACACCCACCTCGGATCCTCATCCCCGCGAAACTCCTCCCCCTCGAACCCATCTGTACCTCCACCTCCACCTCCACCACTGGCTCCCTGCCCCCTCACCCCCTCCTTCCGCAAATTCTCCCGCCTCAAAACCCACCACAACCCCGCGACCACCCCCAAATTCCCCACCAGATACCCGAGCGCAAACCCATGCCCCAAAAAATACCTCGGTTTCGTCTCCGTCCGATACAGCTGCGTGCCTAGCACGGCCCCGAGGTTCCCGATCGAGATCTGCAGCGCATTCGCGATGGCGCGCTTCGTCTGGCCCGAGACATTATTAGCCGGCCAGGCCAACACGATCGCCACGGCCGGGTAGATGCCCGCCGCGGCGAAGATGGTCCCCACGTAGGACACGCCGGGGCGGGGGTCCGTCAGCAGGAGGATGTAGCCCAGGCACGCGAGGGCTGTGCTCCCCAGAATGAAGGGGGCGCGGCGGCGCGTGCGCTCGCTGAGGATGGCGGTTGTGACTGTCAGGCAGAAGGCGACGGCGTAGGGTGGGACGGTCAGGAGTTGGGCCTGCGCGGCGGTGTACCCTAGGGTTTGGATTATGGTTGGCTGTTGCGGGTGTTAGTGAGAAGTGATGTCAGGGTTGGGGTGAGTGAGGGATGAGCGGGGGGAAAGGTTTAAGGGGCGGACTACCATAAACAAAGACAGCGTGTACAGCGGCAGCGACAGGGTGTGGAAGGCGAGTCCGTATAACCACACTTTCGGGTCGCGGAAGGCGTGGCCCACGGCGTTCCAGCTGAAGGTCTCGTGGCGCGTGGCGTCGCTGTCGTGCTTGAGCCGGTGCTGGATGTAGCTCCGTTCCTGGTCGGTGAGGAACTCGGCGCTCGACGGGTAGTTGAAGACCCAGAAGTAGGCGGCCAGGGACGTTAGGATGGTGAGGAGGCCTTCCTGGACAGTTATTAGGGGTGGGTTAGAGTTGAAGGTTGGGGGGGGGGAAAGGGGGGGGGGCGCACGAGGATGAAGATCCATCGCCAGCCGTTGTAGCCTCCTACGCCGCGCATGTGGGCGATTCCCTGGTTTCGATTAAGTTCTGGGCGGCATATGGGTGCAGGAAAGGTGGTGGTGATGACCTACCCAGGCGAGAATCCCCCCGAAGGCGCCCGCCAGCGAGGCGGCGCTGAAGAACAGCGCGACCCGGTAGTGTTGCTCGTTGCGCTTGTACCACATACTCAGATAGAAGACTACGCCGGGAAAGAGGCCGCTTTCGGCGATTCCGAGGGCTGGATGGGAGTTGTATTAGCATGATGTGGATCGGTTGTTAGGTCTGTCAACAGAGGCAGTGCCTACCCAATCGCGACACCAGAAACCCCGCGTAGTTCTGCACCACGCCGCAGAGCGTCGCGACAACGCCCCAGACCAGCGTGAGCGTCGGCAGCCAGGTCCGCGGGGTGGTCTTCTTCAGGATGATGTTACACGGCACCTCGAACAGCACGTAGCCGATGAAGTAGAGCGTCAGGCCGGTGAGGTACTGGTCTCCTGCTGCGCGAGGTCAGTAACGCAGCCCTAGGGTTCGAGTAGGAGCCAATTGAAGAGGGTTAGGTAGCCTACACATATCGAGATCGGTGCCCATGCCTTCCAGCCGGGCATTTCCCACTATTCCGCATCAGACCATTAGCCATTCTCCACTAGGCATGCAGCGTCAGGTAATACCATTGCTCCGATCGAGAAACGACAGCAGGTACAAGATTGTCAACGGGGGCAGAAGTCGGTAATCCAGTTTGCGGAGCAGCGCCTTTTCGTTGACGCCTGCATGTTCGGCGATGCTGCTGTCGCTACTGTTGCCGCTGCTGGGGTCCTCGGGGGCTTCGGGTTGCGTGGTCGGATGGATGTCCACGGTTTTCTCCTCAGTGAGCTCTGTCATGGTGCAGATTGTGGTGTCCCTGATGAAGAAGCCTGGAACCCCGGTTCACCGAGGACAGATGCACCCCGGTGTGGGGTGATGATATACCCCGGTGCATACATGATGTATGCCTCTGCACCATCGCTGGCACAGTTGGCGTGATCGCATATCCGCCCCGCTATTGGAGGCTCGATTCTGCGCGGCGAGGAGGGAGGGGGATATATTATGGGTTGCTTGAAGGGGGGTGGTTGCAGAAGAGAAACTGGGAAGTTGTGCTTGGCGGAGGATATTGTGGGCGGGGATGGGAGATCCAAGCATCGAGCTGGGAAATGAGCAATCCAGGGTCCACTATGGCGACCATTCGGCCGAGAGGGGGAGGTTATACACTTATATCTAGTAGTGCATCGGGCCTGGAGAGATTGAGCATGATTTTGGTTTTCTGACTTCCTTTTTTCAGTATACTTCTCCAGAATTGATCAATTATGCCATGTGCAAAGGCATTGTACATAGGTCAATATAATGAGTTGGTTGATGGGGTTGCCAGGCCGAGGTGTACACAAGCAGATAAATTAAACTGCCACAGGGTTACACTTCATAGTATAAGCCACACAAATGTCAATGCGCGAGGCACGTGGACACGCGTCATCTTGATGCTTGGGCTGATATCATACTGCAGCAACTGAAGTCCAAAGCTGTTCTTGTGCTAAATGCTGGATGTAGGCATAGATCTTGTTCTTGCGCCAAGGGACCAAGGGTCCATTCTCCACCGCGTTGGGTCAACGGGTGGGGTGCTTGAGAAGCAAGATCTGCATCTCCACTGAAAGAGCAACTGAAGTGGAAGAACAGACGTTGTTAATACTCAGTGTGTATGCCAGTGAGCTAGCTTCTGTCAACACGGCCGGGGTTCATATTCGCCATAATAAGCCTATCGTGTGCATCTTACTCGTAATAGAGGTAGGACGAGTGCCGCCTGGAAAAGACCACCCGCCAACCAATCGGCAGGATTCCAGTGCAACCAAGGCTTATCTTATCCGTGATTCGGGTCTGTGCCGCGGGTCCGATTCCTGGAGCTACAGACGATGCTATACTTCAAGTGATGTGGTGAATTTGATGAAAAAGAGTCTACTTCAAGCTGAAAGTAAATGTTAAAAGTAGAACTCGACTTAGGCAGGGGATCCCTGTTTGCTGTTCTGTCATGAGTGCAAACCAGTTGACCAGATGAATGTGGTATGATTTTGACAGTGTTTTGTATGCACATGACGCTTATCGCACATGTAACGCTGCGTCGGGCGGAATGAGACGCTGGGGAACGGAATGTTTGCATTCGGAGCACATCTCCCTCCGCCCAACTCGGCCAAGAACATCCAGAATATTCTTTTATCAATCAGATACGCCCAACCCTTCAAGGTTCCTCAAGCCAACTGCCTAACTCTTCAATTGACCAAGCTAACCAAGCCACCAACCATGGACTCCACCTCTCCCGCACTGTCACCAACAGAAGCAGCCCAGATTGTCGATGCCACGCTCGACAGCGTCTCCCAGCAACTCCGCGATCTAAACCACCAGGCAAGTCAACCCCACCCACCCCCTCAGTAGAACGGTACTGACATCCAAGGCACAGATCTGGTCTCACCCCGAAGCCGCATTCACCGAACACCACGCCCACGACATTCTCTGCACCTTTCTCGAGACCCAGCCACACCCATTCGTGGTCACCCGGCAGGCCTACGGGCTGGCCACGGCGTTTGAAGCGGTATCGGAAACCGCCCCGACCCAAAATAACACGAACCACGACGAGCCACCGACCACGATCAATTTCAACGCCGAGTACGATGCCCTCCCGGGAATCGGCCACGCGTGCGGCCACAACCTCATCGCGACGAGCAGCGTGGCCGCCTTCCTAGCGCTCTCTGCCCTGCTGCGGCACCGAGACATCCGAGGCCGGGCGCAATTACTCGGCACCCCGGCCGAGGAGAACGGGGGAGGGAAGGTCAAGCTTCTCCGGGCGGGGGCGTATGACGGGGTCGCGATTTCGTTGATGGGGTGTGTATTCCTGATCCCTAGTGGCCCGTTCCTCTCCCGCGAGTGACAGACAGACAGACACTAACCCTACGAGAACAGACACGGAGGCCCCACCTCCCTGCCCTCCGACGGAGTAGCCGGGATGCCCATGACCGCGCGGCAACAACTCACGATCGAGTTCCGCGGGGCGGAGACGCACGCGGGCGCCACGCCGTGGGAGGGGCGCAACGCGCTCGACGCGCTGGTCAGCGCCTACAACAACGTGAGCCTGCTGCGACAGCAGCTGCGGCCGGAGGAGCGCATTCACTGCGCGATCCTGGAGACGCCCACGGTCGCGAACGTGATCCCCGCGGCGACCAAAGCGTGCTGGCAGGTGCGGAGTCCGTCGCGGGCGGGCCTGCGCGCGCTGGTGAGCCGGGTCCGGCGCTGTGTGGAGGCCGGAGCCCTGGCGGCCGGGTGCGAGGCGGTGGCCGTCGAAGAGGAAGATGGGGAGGCGTATACGGATGTGCTACTGAATGAGACGCTGTGTCGGCGGTACCAGGCGCATATGAAGCGCTATGGGCGGGAGGTGGTGGTGAGAGCGGATGAGGTTCTGGCCGGGTCGACGGATGCGGGTACGCTTTCTTTCCCTACGTTTAAAGTCTCACATTCTGGATTCTGGCTAGAGGATGCGGTGGGTAGGCTTATACGGTGTGATCTAGTATGCTGACTCGTATGTCTTTCGTCACAGGGAATGTCAGCTATGTTTTGCCCACGCTGCACAGCTTCTTCTCCATCAGCGCGCCCCCCGGGTGCGTCCCGCACCATCCCTCGTACACGGAAGCGGCGGGCTCCGACATCGCCCACCAGGAGGCGATCCGGGTAGGCAAGGCCCTGGCTCTGCTTGGGTGGGACATGATCACGAATCCTGAGCTCTTGGAACAAGCGCGGGCGGAGTTGAGGGAGGGTCTTCTTAGGGCACAATAATCTACGACTAGCACATGTAATTTATCGTGCGGATAGCGTGACATCGATTGACTAAATGAAAATTACTTCCTTATCCGACGCTTATGACAAGGATCTGACCAGAACAAGCCAGTCAGGGATATGCCCCAGTCACCTGACTCGGTCCAAGTCACCATAGCCATCCACAACTTCTCATCAATTTCTCGTCCCACCTCCAAGAAAACCAGCAACCTGCCTACGAACCCCCCCAGAACGTGCCTCGGAGATCAACATCAAACACAAAAGAAAAGTCCAACCAACCCCCCTCAATCCTCAATTCTCAAGCCCCCCGACCCGCGCCGCTAAATCCCGCAGGACGGGGCCGGCAAACACATCCGCGACACGCAATTGAATCCCCGTCGCCTTCCGTACCGCCGCCACCAACTCCATCGCCTTGACAGAGGTGCCTCCCAGCCCAAAGAAGTCCGAGCCTTGGCTCACGCGGCCCACCGGAACGTCGAGGACGCGGGCAAACGCTTGCTGGAGTTGGTGCTGGAGTTCAGTGGTTGGGGCCAGCGATTGGCCTTGTTGTAACTTGCCCAGTGGCAGGGCAGCCATGAGCTGCCGGAGGCATGCGCGGTCGATGGCGCCGCAGCGGCCGGTCAAGGGGATGCGTCGGAGCGGGAGGAAGAGCGTGGGGATCTTCCAGCGGGGCAGGGTCTGTTGGAGGGTACGGGCTGCGGTGATGCAGTCTGAAGATGCGCCGACGGTGCCTTCCTCGTCGTCGTCGTCGTATAGCAAGTCGGTAGGGTCAGCCAACGTGCTGGAGCTCACTGTGTTCCCCGTGGCGAAGATGAAGGCGGCGAGCACCTCCTCCCCATTGTCCTGCCTGATAGCTTCGACGCTGACCAGCCGTGCGGGACCCGGTGGTAACGCAGCGAGGACGTGGGCTTCCGTCTCAGCGTGATTCACGCGGCGACCGCGGACTTTGGGGATCGGGTTCGCGCTGAGGCCCAGGAGCCGGATACGGCCGGTGCTGGTATATTCGGCCAAATGGCCCGAGCGGAATACATGGCTCTGGTTGCTGCGGGTCGGGAATCGAGACAGCCAGGGTGGCCGGGTGGCCAATGCTTCGAATGCACCTTCGTCATGTTGAGGGATGCTGAAGACCAGCTCCCCAACCGCGTTGAGCGGTGCGAGGTTGTTGGCGTTGTGAGGCTCCACAATCCAGGCCCTGACCGGCGACCCTGGCGCATGTCCGAGGAGATTGGGGTCGGAGCGTTCAATTACCCTGGACATGCCCAGAAGGGTATCTGCGCCTGCAGCCGGGCGGTAGAGATGCATGAGAGTCGTGTTCTGCGCCTCCCACGTATCGTGATCAGACGGGCGAATGGCCTCGCCGGCAAGCAGTAGGGTATTGAGCGATGGAGCGCCGCGAGGCAGGAGTAGACGAGCAATGGTTGGTGTCAGGATGGCCCACGTCGGCTTGAACGTGGCGAAAATGTGCGAGAGCTGCTCGACCCGAATGTCTCGTTCGCGTGGGATGCAGAGACAAGCACCGACGGCCAGAGAGCCCAGCACCTCCATCACGCTGGTATCCTCCGCAGCGGAAGCCAAGTGTATTGCTCGATCGTGCGGGTGCAGGCCCAGGCCAGATGAGGACTCTACCATGGTAGGACAGAGCGTGCGAAGGTCTTTGCTGGTTATATTGAAGCTCTTGCTCGTCGAGCCGGGAGGGATGAAGATGGCGCATGAGAGGTTAGTCACAGCCGACCACGTCGGGGCAGCTGCTATCGGATGCTCATCTTCAATCTCTTCGATAGTCAGGGCTTTCACGTCAGCCGGTTGAAAGGCTACATTAGCATCGTCACGGCTCGTTAATGCGACCTGGGCCTTTAATGTATGGCACACTTCCGCCAGATATGTTAAGTGCTCTCGGCTCAGCAGGCAAAATGCCGCCCCAGTCTTGATGATAGCCAGCATGGCCACCGGCGTCCATTTTCCCCGATCAAAACAACATGGTACAATGTCACCCGGTCCTATGCCGTTTGCCTTCACTCGCGCGGCAAGGACGGACGAGAAGCAGTCCAGCTCACCAAAAGTGAGGGAGCCGTTCCAGGCATCCACCGCCAGCTTGTCAGTCTGGAGCTGACATTGCTGTTGCATCGCTTCGTAAAGACGATCGGGCTCGCCCAAGGTGGTACACTGATTCCAGCGTTCGACCTCCGGCGCATAGTGATCGCTGAAGAGCTCAACACCACCGATAGTCTGGCTAGGCGTCTGGACAATGCTTGTCACCGCCACACTCAGCGCCGCCGCCACACTGGCAGCTTGCTCTTCGGTCATATAGCGTGCCCAATATCCGAGGAAGCATTCGAGGACGGGCTGGGCCGAAGAGACGAGAACAATCATGTCATGCTGCGTGCTCCCTCCCAGTCAGCAAGTAGTAGTAGTAGTAGCCATTGAGGCAAAGAAGCGACGTAGCTTACCTCACTTGGGCCCTTGATGCCATGTAGCTTCAATCTAATGGAATCAGAGCCTTTGTGCTCCGCGTCTTCCTCCTGGTCGAAGTTTGGCAAGAAGTTGATGGCCGTGTTGAAGCCACAGTCCCCGACAAGATTCAACGCATCAAACAGGGCAGGCAGATTGACCTGCTGATAGGAGAGTCCCCGAATGAACTCGGCTTGCATATCTTGCGCCGTCTGCTGCAAGGAAGTCTGCTGGTCAAACTGCACACGACAGATGAGGGTGTTGAGATAGGGGCCAACCGCCTCCTCCACCCCGTCCAGCGGCACGTCGCGCCCATTGGTAAGGTAGGTGAAGGCCACGTCGTTGGATTGCGTGAAGCTGCGCAACACGAGCGCCCATGCCAGCTTGAATAAACTCGCCACGGTCAGGCCGGTTTCGTGGCAGAATTGCTGATATGTATGCTGAATCGCCGCAAGACATACCGACGCCCTTCGCCCGCCGACTGGCTCTTCGGCACCTTCGGGTCGGAGCCGGGGGAAGATACAGGGGCGAACCCCTTGGAGGTAGGACTTCCAGTATGCAAGCGTGGACTCTCTCAGGTGGCGGGAGAGATAGCGGGCGAATCTCGTGTACGAGGCTGCAGGCTCCACTAGGGCACGCTCTTTCGCTCCATCGCTGTTGTACAATCGGGTAAACGCTCGTCCAAGATTTGCTATGGAGGACGCATCCATCAGCGTATGGTGGATGTCAAGAACACAGTAGATTGTGTCGTCGTCGGCGGTCCGATAGACCTGGAACTTTGGGATCCAATCCATCCCTCCGCGCGGTGGCACAGGCGGTTCATCTGGCAGCGAAGTTGGCGGAGAGAGCATGACTACACTATCTGCGACTCCCACGCCCGGCACGGTTGGCTTGAGAACCACCTGCAAGGCCAGCTTCCCCTCTGAGGCGACCTCAAAAAGGACAGTCCGGAGCGTTGGGTGCCGGGCGGATAGCCTGGACCAGGTGCGTCGCAAGCGTCCTATATCGACAGGATGGTGTGGTTGTGTTGCAGCTACTTCCCAGATCGCACGCGTGTGGTACATCTTGGCAAAGCGAGCATGACTGTACAACATGCCTTCCTGGACAGGGGAGCACCAACACACGTCTTCCACATCTGCACTGTGCAGTTTGATCTTGGCGAGCAAAGGCTGGAGGACTTCGACGTGGGGGTCCGGACTGGGCTCCTTCTCGCTGCCAGAGTCATCTGACTGGCGCCTTGCCAGCAGCTGAGACAAATTTGCGATTGTTCTCTGCTGCAGGATATCGGCGACTGTGAGGGCGTACTGGTGCGATCTCGAGAGGTTCACCACTCGCATGGCCGCTAAAGAGTCTCCTCCCAGTCTCAGGAAATCATGCTCGACCCCGAACTTCGTCGGGTCCAGGCTCAGAGCCTCTCCAAATAACGAATGAAGCTTCCTCTCTGTTTCAGAGACCGGCATGACCAATCTGGCCCCCTCCCCTTGGTAAGCTTCTAGTTCTTCGCGGGAATGCTGCTGCACCGCCTCATACAAACTCCGTCTCGCGACTTTGCCCGTCAAAGTGGAGGGCACCCGGGCCAACGGCAGATAGACACTAGGAAGCATGTAGCTGGGAAGAAGGGATTCCAGGCGTGCTCGGATACGTTTGACGTCCGAGAAGAAGTCCGGGCTCGCAGTCGCGAGCAACAGGGGGGCGCCTGCGCTGTCCGCCGCCTCCCTCTTCGGTTGATAATCCGACGAGTGGAGGAATAGCGCCACGATCGGAATATCCTTGCCATTGGCAGGAATGGCTGACTCGGCGATCGTTTGGACCCCATCTCGACAGACCGTCCGCGCATGCGCCTCGATCTCGCCGAGGTCCAGTCGTTGGCCGCGTATCTTGACCATTGTTCCTTTCCGACCGACATACTGAATGCTACCGTCTGCCGTGTAGCGGAACAAATCGCCTGTTTTATACATGCGTCCAGGAGTGGTTCCGTCGAGCTTTGCTTGCAGGTCGCGACGCCACTTTGGAGCCTCGATGAACGCCGAGGCGGTTGCATCAGCGTTATCCAGATACCCTCGCGCCAGGCTGGGCCCTTCAAGAAGTAGTTCGGCCACTACCCCGATGGGGGCCAGCTTTTGGTGGTTTGTAGGGTTGACCAGCCACTGGCGTACAATCAGCGATGGGGGAAAGGCTTTGAGGTCGCATCGCGGGGTCATAGATAGAGGACTGGGACACGGGAGGCCGGCGTGTTCACTCATCCCATAGGCCTGAATCAGCTGGACCTGACTTGCGGCCGTCCAGCGCTGGAAGTCCTGATCACTCATGCTTTCACCCCCCAGAACCAGAGACCTTAGGCTCGAGGGCGGGGCGCTGGCATCCATGCGGCTCAGAAGCGACGGCGTCAACGCGGCCCAGCTCACCTGCATTTTCTGCATTGCTTCGGGCAGGTTGTTCGTCCGGTCGAACTCCGAGATCACGCAAAGGGTCGCACCAGTACTCAGAGTGTAGTAGGTTTCAACCACAGATAGATTGAAGCTGTAGGCGGCAAATTGCAGGACCCGTGAGTTGGAACGGATGTCCCATGATGAAGCCTGCCGAGAAAGGTACATTAGGGCTTTTTGCTCCATCACCACGCCCTTGGGCAACCCCGTTGTGCCGGACGTGAAGAGAATATATGCCGGTGCTTCAGGATCGGTGTCGGGGTGACCGGGGTCCACGGTGACGGAGTCCCCGGTCAGTGTGCTGGGTATAGTGACCACGTTCTTGATCAGAGTAGAAGCCCGTCCGGAAAGGGCTTCGGATGAGAAAATGAATCTGGTCTTGATAATGCCCAGAATCGACCGCAGGCGGTCATCTGGATGCGACGACTCGAGAGGCACGAATGCAGCCCCAACCATCCAAATCGCAAGCTGGGCGACAGTCGTCCACGCCCCCTTCTCTGTGAAAAGCGGAATCAAATCTCTCGGGCGAAGTCCGGTGACCTGACGCAGGTAGCTAGCCATTCGAGCAGCCTGCTGCACCAGCTCTCTATACGTCAAATTCCCATCCCACGCGCAGATGGCGATTTTGTCGGGGTGTTCCGCAGCCCGCTCATGAATGATGTCCAGGATGGGCTTCAATCTTGGCTGTGATGGCCAATTCCGATTGTTGTTCCACCGCACAATGGCCGACTCATTTTCCGCACTGAGCAGGTCCAAGTCGTCGACTCTCCGGTCGGAGTGTGCAAGTATTTCCGAGATGGCTTGACTAAGAGTGGAGGCGAGATGCCGAGCTTGGCCTTCGGACAACAGCGAGCTCTGAGAAAACAACAACACCTGCGAAGAGGCTACTGAACTGGCGGCTTCTTTTACAACTAGAAGGAGCTGGAAAGAGCCATCTCTCTGCAAGCTCTGGCACGTCGCAGCCGTCGCACCCAGCCATACGCAGGTGTTCAGCTTGCGGTCATTATCGGACGGTAATGGTGTCTCCCTGGCCATTCGTCGCGTGAAGTCACTGACAGTCTCATCCTTGGGTATCGTGGTCTGGTAGGTATGCATCTCGCAATCCTCCCCTTGCCCAAGGGCAAAGCATACCGTGTCGGAATCGACAAAGTGCTGGAGGACGATGGGCCAGGCGCTTCGTAGAATTGTTTCTATTGGGATCGCCTCTCTCTCCATGGTCGACACTCGGCTCATTGTGGTTTTTGGCGAGTCCACAGGGACCTCATGCCAGGTCGTCGCCTCATCGTCACGAGGCGCACAAACCGAGGTCAGCGCCGGGAAGATCCCCATCGGCGCTGTCGCGTCTCCTTCCATTGTCGTTGTTCGAGGGCAACCGTGGGTAGTTCTAAGGGGTATAGAGAACCATGCCCTGAATAAAGGATTTTGGGAAAGGTTTACTGAACACGATCAAGTCAAATGTGATCTGCACAAGATGGTGGACGGAGTGAAAAGCAGATCAACACGCAAGGCCCACTTGGATGATATGCAAGGGAGAGAAGCTCCTCGGGGGCTGTCCTTCCCCCCCCCCCCCCCCTTCCTTCTTTCGACCCTTTAGCTGGGGCCCAGAGTGGGAGGAATATCTGAATGCGGTGCGCTGTAGTGAACCAGTTTCGACGACGGTCATCGACCTGTATTGAATCTACCACGGAGTCAGCAACCACGGTCGAGGTCGAGTGAGGGTTACCGCTTTCAGCCCTGATGTGGTCGAGGTTGCAGTGGGGCTCCGCTTGACAGACACCTGTCATCTTCACGATTGCACAAACTACGACGAGTCATTGGGCAAACACGACTCATCTGATCATTCTGACAACATGTTCAGCTTTTGCTGATTATTCATAGATTCAGCCAAACTCGATGCGATCTTTGAATGACGCCCAGTCGATCAAAATGAAAGATCGGCGGTATATAGCGTGCAGCATTTCGATGCAAGCACACAAGGCAGAGTAGGGACTGAATCTTCTCATTGACGAACTTACTACATTTCTTTCTTGACAGTTTATCACGTTCATTGAAGACCACTATGACCCACAAATTGCCGAGCTTCCCCATCAAGGGAATATCCGACAAGAGCGATGTCCAGCCAAGGCAGGACTTGGCTGCTTGGTCCAGCTCCATCAATGTGGAGAGTAAGGTACAAGTTTCCCTCTTCCTCCGGGCGCTGGACAAGCTCCAGAAGAGAGACCCCGTGAATGATCAGCTCTCCTATTTTCGACTTGCCGGTATGTCCTCCCGCCCCTCCCTCAGGGTAGCGTAACACACGGATTAATGAACTGGACATTTAGGAATTCATGGTGCGCCCAGCCAGGCCTGGGACCATGCTCCAGATCCCGAGCAAGACTTCAAGGGGACCAGCGGATACTGCCATCACAATGATTATTTGTTTCCCACCTGGCATCGTCCGTACATGCTGCTCTATGAGGTATTTGCTGAGATTACCCGGCAACGATCAACGCAAAGTATCGTGTCACTGATGACTGAATCACCCTAAATCAGCAATGTTTGCACCATATCATGATCCACGAAGTGATCCCAGAAATCACGGATGCCCGTGCCAAGAAGCACTGGACCGAGGCTGCGAACTGCTGGCGTCTCCCTTACTGGGACTGGGCGATCAAACAACCCGACACCAACGAATATGGCCTCCCTAAAATCTTGTCGGACGAGGTTTTTGAGATTCTGGAGCTGGGATCCCGCACCAAGACTGATCCGAATTTCGGTGATAACCCGATGTTCAAATTCGTGAACCGAGTAAGGAATCAGCAGGACAAACTGGTGCCCACCCCCATGGGAGATCCGGTGATGGGAAAGTATGCGATCACATTTGAGGGAACTAAGCTCGGGGATATTCCAGTCAAGGTGAGCAATGGGATTCCTTTCTATTCAGTTCGTACCCGAGACATCCTACACTCTGCTAACGCGTCGTCGTATAGTTTGGCGAAGCAGCCGGCACCAGCCGCTATGCGGATAGCACCGACAAACAGCAATGGGTGCCAGGCTATGACCTCAACGAGAAGGTTGGGGAGGCGATCGTCAAGCACCAGTGGATGGGCGAGGATCCCAGCACTACGACAATACAGGCGGTGGTCTCGCGTCTGCTAAGTGACTCATACTTTCAAGAGTACGAGCCATTTGCTTCGACCAGATATTCCCAGACGCATCCCGCCGAACACGTCAAGAACGTGTTGCCAACGGAGCATCTGTCCCTGGAGATGGTGCATAACAACATCCACGAGTGGTCGGGGGGATCGCAGCGGGATGACGCTGGTGTACCCACCCAAGGGCACATGGCGAATGTCCCGGTGTCCTCATTTGATCCGGTCTTCTGGATGCATCACTGGTATGATCCTCCTCCTTCCATTCTGGAGCCAGGATCAAGTCGTCTGATCGTCTTCTAGCAACGTGGATCGTCTCCTAGCGATCTGGCAGTACCTCAACCCCGATAAATGGCTGAATGAAGCTGATGGGCTGTCAAAAAACCTGGAACCCTTTTCCACGGATCATCACAGAACTCCTTGGAACTCCGTCCTAGCCAGACCGTGGGAACAGTATGGCTACAGTTATCCGGAGCTGGTGGGCAACCCCAAGCGGGAGGATCTCATCCAGGCCATCCAAGCCAAGTACGGCGCGCCTGTAAAGCAACTGCGGCCTGCGCAAGGCAAACACTCGCTACCGGGGATCAGCCATGAGACATTCCAGGACTACATCATCAACCTTATCTATGATCGGTGAGTTGCTCTACTTTCAGGGCTGGACCCTTGATCCCCCAGATGGCTAATGCTACTGGTCGCAGCAACGCCTTGGACGGATACCCGTACAAAATCAGCTTCGCCCTCCTGGTCGATGAGAGAACCCACCTCCCCGTCGGCGAGGTCTACAACTTCAGCACCCCGCTAGACTCCGATTGTGGAAACTGCCAGACTCAAAAGAAGGAAGGGGTGCTCTCCAAAGCCCAGGTGCCGATCACGCTGCACCTGCACGAAGCAGTGCGTCGCCACAGCGGGGTTATCCGCGCGGTGAACTACACCCCTGACGACGAGCCGGGCTTGCGGCCGGAGTACATGCAGCATTTCCTCGAGGGGGCGCTGATCTGGACGGTGACGACGGTATGTAGCGGATGCCTCCTTTTCCCTTCTCCCCCTTTTCGTCTCTTGACTTGGCTAACACGATATTATGACGATGACAGAATGGCGGACAAGTGATTGAGCTGGATGACTTTCCTGGTCTGGAGGTCACCGTGCTGACTGCAGAGGCGCAGTTTAGCGAAACGCACGCGGCACGTTACCAGCCTAACAAATACGAGATCTTGCACCGGGCGACTCATGGCAAGCCCAGGGGAAGACGGCATCCACACCATCGAGAGCTTTGAGATTGCACTAAACTACTTCTTTGGTGTGAACTAGACATTAATCATAACCATTTGTTCTGGAGTCGGAATACTTTGTTTGCATTGCCAAGTCGTACTGTATTGTACTGTATCATGCGGTAAGACGCCATGTAATGTAACGATGTAACATACCGGTGGTGACAGGTTTCAATCAACTCACTGGCATGACAGGACCGAATATGACATTCCAGGTTAATTTACGGGAAAGGCTGTTGCGGGCCGGGCCTGATCTTCGCCCTTGGGGTGTGAAAGCCGCTTGTTGTTGTCTACAGCACAAAGGAGCTCAGGAGTACGAAGATTTCTCTATTCTTGCTAATTCTATATCAGAAATTGAAGAGAACGAGAGGCATATCTGCCGACTTTAGTAGCGCAGAGAAAGAGAAAAAAAAAAAAAAAACCAAGCATAGCTTTGTAGACGGGGGAGGCGGGATGGAATGTCATGTTTCGGGGTTAGGGCTAATGATGCGAGGCGGTCCGGTATGAGCGGCGGCATTCACGACTCTGGCCGAGAAACAGAACAGACTCGACGGAGCATTCCTACTTTTTGTTGCAGTTGTTGCAGTTGTTGCAGCTCCGCGGAGTTACTGCCCACGTTCCCTAGATCTAGCCATTCGACTGGACTGAATCATTGCATCTGCCACGGAAACTCTGTGTGGAGGAAAAGCTGTGATCATGGAACCTGCTGCCTTGCTGGTTGCGTCGAGAATGCTGGCACTGACGCAAGACGAACTACTCGGTAACTACCAGTACCTCTGGGCGTGACAAATAATTGACGACAGGATGATTGGCGGAGACTGGAGGAGGGTCACCCAGGTCAACCAGCAGCGGTACGGTCAGACCTTGCACGCAAGCAGACAATGTGAAACGGAGCTCCATGTCGGAGCTGACAGCACATCGTAGTGCTTACATCATAAAGTTAGGGAAAAAAGGATTCCAGACTCGGAGGGTCAATGCGGCATTTCGTAGAGGCTATGGATAGAATCGCGAGCGTGACAGACCCATGGCTGCGGGAAACTTGAGCAGACCCTCTCCACTACATCTTCATCGCACAGTAGACCTGCGGTGGAGCTCCAATGTCAATTACACCACCACTCGAGTATAGGTGATGCAAGTATACGCAGCAGTCTGAATCATGCAGCGGTGCACCTTACAAGAGTGGTCGATTCTGTCCAAAAAGATCGGCATGATAGATGCCCGTTCCAGCCATCTCCCCTTACATACTCTAATCACAGTCGAGGTTATCGGCAGAAATGGCGTATCCACTGCTACCTGTTGGCGCCACTGGCGCGGTTTATGTCAGGAAGCATTATCCGGCCCTTCTCAAGGACATCATCCGGGACTGCACCGACAGCATCAACGCGCTTAACCTGTTCAACGAGCTTGTCTCGGCTCCGGATGGCATCGCCCCGGACTCTCCCGGCTTCAAGGAGTTCGACGCCCATGGCGGCGACATGGCGTGCCACATCCGCGCCGGGATGCTGCACGAGCTCTACGACAAGCATCGGGCCTATTTCCTGGAGACCGGGCATGAGTTCCTGGGAGATCCAGTCGTCCACTACTACATGACCCAGTTTGAAACCGTGCGGTCCCGCGCCCAACACGCCTGCATCCAGCTCACCAAGCACAACACCGACCCGGAGAAGCTCGGGTTCGAGCGCAAGCGCGACACCCTCCTGCACGTCGTGCAGGTGCTCGGGTGGGAGAATGAGAAATGTGGTGGTGGTGGTGGTGGTGGTGGTGGTGGCGGACCGTTTGAATTCCTTCCCACCTCTGGAAACAGCTCTCCTACTACCACCAGCCCCGGAGGCGAGAGCATGTCCAGTTCCACGGGGACGCGTTCATCGATCTCGTCCTCCGCCGGGACGGGGGCATCCACGCCCCTTCACTCGTCCATGTCCACGCTCTCTCTGGCCTCGTCCATCACGCCCATGTCCTCACCATCATCACCACCCTCGCACAGCGCGTGCAAACGCGACCCCACATCCCCGACCTGGGACGTGCACGACTCTTACACGGCCGTACTCTTCCTGGCCGCCGCCTCGGTGCTGGCCAAGTTCAAGGAATTCGCGCGCATGGGCTCCCGCATTACCGTCCGCTTCGTGCCCCAGAAGGCCATGGACCACGGCAATGAGCTCATCGAGCCGTACTGGGACCGCTCGAACACCAACTACGTGGATTTCAAGATCAACCGCATCAAGGACCGGCACTGCTTCCTGCAGAAGTGGTTGTCCCTGATATCCTGCTCGTGGGTGCAGAGCTGGGCGGCGGGACTGCAACTATCCGACGATCTTCAACGGTAAGACTGACTTAAACCCCTGCCGCATGAAGAGGAACCCCTTCCCCCCGTACTAACCCCCTTGGTGCCATGGGCCACAGATTCATGCTCGAATCGACTCACAAGTCCCCCCGCGAAGTGAGCGTCTCGGCCGCCTTTCCCACGTACCTGATCTGCCGAGAGATCTGGGCCAACCGGCAATGGCCACTGCTCCTGCTCGTAAGACATTTCTGCGAAGATGGTGAGTGTTTCACGTGTGCCGAGTATATCCCTACTGGGGGACATAACGGAATGCTGACCAGACACCCACACACCACAAGGGTACCACCTCCGGGCGTACACCAGCATGGCCACGCGCCCCGAAACCCGCCCCGACGACAGCTGCAGCCGCGAGGCAGAAAGCCCAACCTCGGGCCTCCACCGCCCAGCCGGCTGGCCGCTCCAGCGCGTGGCCATCGAGGACCTCGTCGCCGACCCGCGGTACCGAACCCAGCCCTACATCACCATCTTCGGCAACAGCATGCAGGGCGGCTCGCACCTCGACTATCTGGGCCGGGCCTTCCGCGACGACGGCCACCACCAGGCGGACGTGCCCTACCACGCGGACGAGGCCGGCCAGCCCGTCTGCGCGCGGCAGGCGGCGCACGACCGCGCCTTCCAGGCCCACGACCATGACCTCCTGGCCAAGTGTCTCCTGGCCGATCACACGCAGTTCCCGTTCGAGGCGCCGCCGCGCCCGGACCAGCGGGCCGGCCCCGTCGAGGGGGTCGCGCGCGTGAGCCGCGCCATCGAGGCCCTGCGCGACCGCTACGCCGCGCAGGTCAACGCGCTCGGCGGCGGGCCGGCCAACATCGACGTCTACTGCTGGGAGCATGTCTTTGCCGAGACCCCGGCCAGGGTGGCTGCGGAGGTGCAGGCCAAGGTTGCGGCGGGGGATTTGAATCTTTTCTTCTGAGGGAGATGGGGTTTTTGGGCCTTGGCCTTGGCGCTGCTGTTCGTGTGATTGTGTTCGCTACATACAGTACACCCGAGGTTTCACCCTCATATTATAAAATGCGTGGCGTGTTAAATACTAGACTTATGGTTCCGAGATTCTGGCTATTGGAGGTATAATCATCTAAGACTTTTTGTTGTTCGATTGTCCGCGTGACGCGATAAGAAGACAAGACCCAAGTCACCATTTGCCGTTGTTTCTATCTTGATAACGACAGGTTGCGATTCACGTAGCTTAGAAGGACTAGCCGACACCCAGTCGCGACCTTGCTTCGGAGTCATAGGAACCGGACGGGTCGAGAATATGAGGTAATGTCATAATTCAAGTCCTCCGCGGGAGAAGGCATGGCATGACGCACGCCACATGCCAACGTGGTAATGGTAACCGGGGTCCAACGAGACCAGCAAGCACCCAGACCTGCAAACCCAAGGCCTCTCCAGCCCTAACCGGTAGGGATGGTAGGCAGGTCTCGCCGGTGGCCAGTCTGCTTGCTAGGGACCCCGAAGGGAACAAGACAAGCCAAGACATGAAACCGGAGTACAGTATATGCTGCACTAGACCCCTTGTACATGGAACGTTACAGAATCGTCTAACCTTCCTCCCCTCCCCCGAGAATCCCCCAGTGGACCTACCTCTACCTCCCCCTCCCTCTCCCCGGATGGACTTCCCCGAGAGAGTTCCCGAGAGCAAATGTTAATTAAATCAAAACCCTCCCCGAACAGCCCCCCGAGACATAACCCTTCCCCCCCCCCCCGCCCCCCCGGAGGTGAGGGTTTCCATCAAACCGCCGTGACGCAAGCCCGGGGTCCCACAAAACCAACACATCTGTGAAGTGTGTTGGCAGAGGGTTCCTTTCCCGTCCATCGACCCACGACGAATGCAGCGAAGGAAGAGAAGCAGAGGTTTTTCCTACTGGGGGGATTTGCATTGAGCATGATGCAAGACTCTAGACGACGCAACGGACCCCCGTGGGGTGGGGCCGGAAGGGGGGTGCTGCGTTAGGCATTCCGCGCATGGATGTCTTCTCGCCGGGCTCCAGCCACTGCATCGGACGGCGACGTGGAGTTGGAATCACCGGTACGTCAGTCTCGAGTGGACTGGATGGGTTGGTCTAGACTGGGTTGGGGCGTTGGGTCGAGGTGTCTATCTTGTGTTGAGTAACTTGGTGTAGGTCTAGTGTAGCGTACTCGGAAAGTGGACCCTGTAGCTTGTTCCTGTAGTGACGCTACGCTGCGTCCCCCTGTTTGGTGAGATGAACTCTTAGCTCGATGGTTGAAGCTGAAGGCGTATGCGTGAGGTGGATGGTCTGCCATTGCGTGGCTTTGTTTGCTGGGTGGGCTGGTCGGCTGTTTCGTTGCTTTGCTTTGCGGTATTGTGTGTTGTGTCAATGGAGACTAAGTCCCGTGTATTGGGAGGTTCACTAGCTTCTTCTCTAACATAGCATGTACGTTGATCTGCTCTGATATATTATGTCAATGAAGACTAAGTCCGTGTATTGGGATCCACTAGCTTCTTCTCTAACATCGCATGTACACTGTTGCACCCACTCTACACCTAGCATTCTCGGAATTAGGCCGATGTTCGATAAAGCTTTACTCGGGCACAAGCTTCAGGATCAATGATAGAAGATTGTCTCATTTCTGTAGAGCATAAATCCAAGCAGACTTGAAGCAAGATAAGATTAGACAACAGCCATCACAGCTCGCTCTCCACCGCCCGCTTCTTCCACGCAATGGGCTGCATCGCCAGATTCATCCAGACATCGGGATTCTTCTCCCAGGAGCGATACTCCATCTTCTCGCCGGCGGGCTTCTCACTCTCCGTCCAGGCCGGGAGCAGCTCGTAGCGCTCGACAATCTGGGCCAACAGGATCTTCAGCAGCAGATCCACCACATGCCGGCCCAGACACTGGCGGGGCCCAAAGCCAAAGCGCCAGAAATGGTAGCGCCAGGCGACGGGGCTCTTGTCCAGGAAGCGGCGCGGGCGGTAGTCGTAGCGGTCGGCGCCCCAGACCGGGTTGTGGACGTTGAGGGCTTCGGTGTCGACGACGATCTCGGTGTGGGCGGGGATCACAAACCCGCCCACCAGCCGGTCGGTCGGGCAGGCCTGGGGCACCGCGAATGAGGCCATGGGCTTGAGGCGCGCCGACTCGAGGATCGCCGCCTGCAGCAGCGTCGACGAGCTGGCCAGGTATCCCTTCCAGCCACCGCCGCCGCCGCCATCTCCGTCGTCGTCGCGCCGGCGGCGGGCCTGGCGGATCTCGGCCACGACCTCGCGCTGCACCGCAGCGTGCGCCGCCAGAAACACCGGGTTCCACGAGAAGTTGCCGACCGTGACGTCCAGGTTGACGAACACCAGCTCGTCCAGGGTGTGCAGCAGCTCGGTTTCCGAGAGCTGCCCGTCCGCCACCGCGCGGTAGAGCGCCACGATCGGCGCGTCCGGGTGGTGCGTGGCGGTCGCGCGGTGGACCGCCCCGTCGTTGAACGCCTTCCAGCGCGCGTGGAACTCGTGCAGCTGGCGCTGGCGCCGCGGCGCCGGCAGGTATCGCCCGATGGCGTAGCGCGCCAGCCCGCCGCCCATCGCCTGCTTCCACAGCGCGTCGCGCAGCTCGGCCAGCTCGCGCAGTTCGCGCTCCATCGCCTCATCCATCGCGCCGTACAGGATGTCGCCCAGGATGAAGAAGGGGAGGTACAGCAGCTCCTGCGCGGGGTCCACCACGAAGGAGGCGGCCGGCGTCCCGTCGGGCTGGGGCGGCGACTGCAACTTCTGCGCCTCGATCGCGTCCAGCGCCTGCTGCACGCGCTTCTCCATCAGCCCGATGTACGACGGGGCAGTGCGCTGGTGGAACGGCTCGGCCATGGCGGCGCGCATGCGCGCCCACCGGTCCTGGTTGACCAGCCCCAGACACTGGCCCATGAGCGCGCCCGCCAGCCACCCGGCGTTCATGTCCTGGGCCTTGAGGTGTTGGCCCGAGTCGTGGAAGATCGCCTTGATGTCTTCCGGGCACCCGACGATCACCTCGGGCCGCATCCCGTTCCAGATCCGGTAGATGGCCCCGAACTGCTCGCGCCACTGCACCGACTGGTCCTGGTAGAACTTGGCCATGTTGCCTTGTCCGTTCGGGTACACGTACCGGCATCCGGGGATCGTCGTCTGCCCGTCGGCCGACTTGATGGGGAAGCGCACGCGGAGGTAGACCTGGTGGATGTGTTAGAAGGCAGTTCAAGCAACTCTACTCAACAACAGGGCTGTAGTGCGATGCACGCATACATCGATAACCCACGAGATGAGCCGGTTGGGAAGCGTATTCTCTGTAGCCGCTCGCTGGAAACAGGTGGCAACGAGGAAGATCGGGAAAGCGATCAGCCCGAACAACATCAAAAGCTCCATGCTGGATGGCCTCTTTCTGAGAGAATTGTAGAAGGAGGAGGAGGAGGTTGGTTGGAAGAGATTGGGGTGGAACCCCGGCAGTAGGAAGCGGGAGAATGATGGGAGTTATAAGTTATGACTCGACCAAGTCACTTTGTAAGTTACTTGGAAAGAAAGCTTACCTTGTTACATACAGCATACCGTACGGTACGGTACCGAACTGGCTTTGGGGCCCAACATACTTCCGGATCCAACCTAAATCCCCACTATGGATGGGGCCCTGATGCAACTCTCCATTAGACTATGATTACCGCCACACCCAAGCACGTCTTATACTCCAGGACTGTTGATATCACCGCGAGGTTTCTCTTCTTATCATCATCATCCAGTAGCAGACGTCACAATTAACTAACCTTCAAGTCCGTGCCTGGGCTCACACAAGCAACTGTCCGCACGCGGTCATGTTTGCAGTGGCAGCAGAAGTCCAGACCGTCCGGCTGACCATGTAGCGAATGCGGCCTGTCTTGTTCCCCGTGAGACTAACAGACAGGGTGTTCCGTGGCAATCGTCTCCATGAACATCAGCCCTGGCCCTGCGTGGACCAGGTCCCCGTGGAGGTGACCTTCAATACCGTGAGCCCGCACCTCACCCCGCCAGACTTGGCCTTTCGTCCGTCCCAGGAGCTGTGGTGGGGAGGCGACGCCTACGCTGGAGTCAATTATCATAATCTGCGCGGCTTCAATTTTCAGTTTGCCGACGATAAGGGTTTTATTGCGCGTCTGCAGTTCTGGGCGGCTGGTACGAGCCCTCTTTTTTTTTTTCTTTGTCTATGGATTGTTTCTCCATCCCCTATTCTAATCAAATCGCACACAGGAATCAAAACAAACAGCCACTTCCGAGAACTCGTCATTTGTCTCTCCTACGGCACCGAGGAAGGGGGCGTCTGGGTGCTCTGCGCACCGGACATCAAACGGTCCGCGGCGGAGCTGGACATGCTGCAGGCCAACCATCCCGAAAGGTTCACGCGACTTACCCTCAAAGAGCTGGATGAGCATGGCCGCGTGTGGAAGGTGGATGAGGACGGCCAGGCGAGTCGTGGCTGGCAGAACGTCGTCGTGTATCCATGGCATACCTGGCGCGGGGGAAAAGATGAGAACATGGATGTGTGGATGACGGTAGAGTCTGATGCGGGTTTGGATCTGGGGAAGTCGTTAACTGGTGGTGTGAGGGTTGCGATGCGGTGAGGTGGTTGGTGGTTGGGTACCTCAACTCTGAAGAGGTACCTCCGGGTGGGTGAGGTACTGGCAAGTGTATGATTCAGACCTCGCGGTTGAGGCTCGACTCGATAGAAAAGTGCTTGGATGAGGTTAGTCAATCAATTGGACTCGGTGGGCTGTCAATCAGATACCGAGCATAACGCTGGGGGGATACGGGTCTCCCTGAAACTAGAAAACATAAGCCCTAAATCCGACACGTAGGTACTTCAGCATCTGTGCGCATGACACATCTCCGTTGTCCAGAGCCAATTGAAAGCCATCTGCGTCGATAACAGCGCCATGGAACAGAGGCAAGCATGTCATCACAAAGAAGCGAGGTTAGTGGAACGGTGAGATGGCGATGTCGTGACCTCACGAGTCGGCGTCGTAGCACTGGATATGCCCAGCATAAAGCCAGCAGAGGTCGCTTGAAAGTCCATCCATGGTGATTCGCCAGCCCTTGCAATTGGTGATCTCCCGTGCAATGTATCCGATCCAGCAAGTAATCAGCCCAGTGGCTTCTCCCAACCCAACCGTGACAATCGCCTCGGGGATTGTCATCGGGACCACGCAGGCCCTCCCCTCCAGCACAGAAACAGCCAATGTGTATCTCGGGATCCCCTTCGCCCAGTCGCCCCCGGTGCGATTCGCACCTCCCGAAGAGCCAGCGCCGTGGCCGTCTCCCATCTATGCCCAGGAGTTCAAACCCTCCTGTATGCAGGTCTTTGCAGACTTCAACAGTGCGTATACCGTGCTCCTTGTATCGAAATCCCGCCAACCAATCATGCAGAGATGCCGCACGCCGACGGGCTCGCGATGACAACCACAGAGGATAACCCGTGGACGGAGGACGAGGACTGTCTGTATCTGAATGTCTGGACCCCTCGGGGATCGAATGCCACAGACCTAGAGGTGATGGTCTGGATTTACGGCGTGAGTTCCAAGCCCCCCACTCTCTACTCCTGTCTTCTGTATCCGAGTCAATTTCTGAATGCAAATCCAGGGGAATCTGGCCTGGGGCACATCATCAGACCCATTCACAGAGGGCACCGCCCTTGCCGTCCGTGGAAACATCATCGTCGTGAGCTTCAACTATCGTTTAAGTAGTACGTATCACCCGTCCCCCCTTTTTTTTGCTTGATAGCAAAGAAGAACCCTCATACCAACGAGAACAACTTCTAGTCTTTGGCTTCTCCAACTCGCCCTCCCTTCCCCTCACCCACCGCAACGCAGGTTTCCTCGACCAACGTCTCGCCCTAGACTGGGTACAGCGCAACATCCACGATTTCGGCGGCAACGCCTCCAAAGTGACCATCTTCGGCCAGTCCGCCGGCGGCTACTCGGTGCAACAACTGCTGGCTGCACCCCCGGGCCCGAAGGACCGACCCCCCTTCCGCGCAGCGATCATGCAGTCGTTCGCGCGCGCGTTCGGCGGTAACGGGACAGCCAACTACCTCAACGCGGCGGAGCACTTCAACTGCACCGGTAGCCCCGATCCCCAACCCCAATCCGATTCCCGATCTGATCACGATCATCCCCGTCCCAGCAAGGATGTAAGAGCCGAAGAGAAAAACGAGGAGGTCCTCGCCTGCCTCCGCCGCGTCGACGCAGTCGAGCTACGCGACTACGCCGCGCAAGCCGAACTCGACTTCGCCCCCGTCGAGGACCACCACACGTGCATCACCAACGTAACGGACCACATCCTAAACGGGCCGGGGCTGGCGGACGTGCCGCTGCTGCTGGGCTCCACGCGCGACGAGCTCAGCGGCATGGTGTACGCCCTGTCCTCCAACGCCACGGACCCGGTGCACACCACCTGGCATCGCGTGCACGACCGACTAATCAGTACCGGGCTGCGGCACGATCCTCCGTTCGTGACAACGGCCGAGGAGGTACGAAAACAGGCGGACGAGGCAGCAGCGAAGCTCCTCTTCCCCTCCTCCTCCTCGTCGTCGCTTTCGAAGAATAAATACGGCCCGCTTGTTCGTCTCGCTAGCGATATCGTCTTTACTTGTCCGACTAGTCGGGCTTGCAGCGTGACTACCGCCAGCAACAGCAACAACAACAACAACAACAACAACAACAACAACAACAAACGCAGGTCCGGTGTCTGGCGGTATCGGTGGTCAACGGAGGCGGCGGCCCCCGGGACATTCATCCCCAATCACGGGGCGGTGCACGGGGCGGAGATCCCCGTCATCTTTGGCACGCATCTGCCCGACACGCCCGCGGACACGCTGGCCATGACTGCCTACATGCAAGAGTTATGGGCGGGGTTCGCCAAGCATCCCGTCGCCGGGCCTGATTTCAACCCCTCCGAGCCGCATGACCAGCCCACTGTGGTTGACTTGTGGTACAATGGTTCGTCCCATAAGGTGGATGTCGCTGTCACCGAGGTCGACGCGTGGTGTGTGTGGCTGTTGCCCGTCGCGGACCGGTTGGGGTTTACTTGGTAATGCTAGTGTGTGTATGTGTAGTCATGTCGAGGATCTCGGTGCCCGAAGATAGATTTCCCTTGCTTCGAGCACATGTCTCGTTGAGCTTTCAGCCATCAACTTGCCGATAGGCACTTGAAAGACCCTTCGATGACGAAGGGCGGGCTGTTGATCCTTGGATTGCACAATACTTCAATCTCCCAGGAGAGTGTATGTGAGATTGTGAATCCAGTTGGCAAATTTCAGCTCTTGATGAAGAAATCATATACGGCTGCAATCAGCCTGAATAGTCTTAGGTACTGGTAGGAGGAGCGCTGCCTGGAGAATACCGACCCTCAGCCAATCGGCAGTCTTCCAGCAGGACCAAGGCTTATCTTATCCGCGATTTGGGGTCCGTGCCGCAGCTCCGAGGTCCGATTTCTCGGGCTACCCGTACAGAATTACAAATACCTCTTATCGCACCCACTCCATCCCTCCCGTCAGCTTATCCCTCCCTCCCCAACTCCCCAACTCCCCAACTCCACCGCACCACCTCATTTCCACCATGCGCAGCACTCTATTGACCCTCCCGCTGCTCCTGAGCACCGCCCAGTCCGCACTCGGTGCGTCCAGCTCTTTCAGCAGCAGCCACCAGCAGATCCTCGAATCCCCCAACCAAGCCCCCTACAGCCATGACGACGCCATTTTCGTCCTCGACGAAGACCGCGTCCACGCCGCCCTCCGCGAGCACCCCGACGACCCGGTCGCCGCCTTTCTGGCGCTGAGCCCCGATAGCGCCGACTTCCTCGCCCAGCCCCGGCTGCTGCACGTCCGCGGAGAGCCCCAGCCGCAGTGGATGACCGAGGGCGACAAGCTGCTGCTGCGGCAGAAGGGGAAGAAGTTCATGGACATCACGGAGCATGAGGGTTTCTACGCGGAGCAGGTGCATGCCCTTGCAGGTTCGGCGAGTGCGTACATATACATTTCTTCCATCCGGGGGTTCCAATGTTAATTTTTGCGGGGTTACCAGACCTGCCGGACTTGACGCACCAGCGCTACGTCCGCCCCCTGTTTGATCAGGTCGAGAAGGCGCACATGGAATACGTGCTGCGGCACATGACCAGCTACTACAACCGGTACTACGGGGGCATCCATGGCGAGATGAGCTCGCAGTGGCTCTACCAGCACATCGCCAAGGTCCGTACCCTTGCCACAGGACTCGGGCAATCGGGACGAAACTAACGCGCTCAAGATCATCGACGAATCCCCCTTCCGCACCCACATCTCCCTGGAGTACTTCACCCACGCCTTCCCCCAGTCCTCGATCATCGCGCGCTTCGAGCCCAAGGTCCGCAACTTCTCACTCCCGCTGACCATCATCGGCGCCCACCAAGACTCGGCCAACTACCTGTTCCCGCTGCTGCCCGCGCCCGGCGCCGACGACGACTGCTCGGGCACCGTCAGCATCCTCGAGGCGTTCCGCGTGCTGGCTGCGAGCGGATACACGCCCAAGAACGGACCCGTGGAGTTCCACTGGTACGCGGCCGAGGAGGGGGGACTCTTGGGGAGCCAGGCCGTTGCGCGGTACAAAAAGGAGGAAGGGGCGCGGATCGGGGCGATGTTGGAGTTTGTACGTTTGCCTTTTGCCCCCGTTCTCTACATCATCATCATCCCGTGGGACTCACGCTGGGGCAGGACATGACGGCGTTCATCGCGCACAATTCGACCGAGGAGATCGGGTTCATCGCGACGGAGGCGGATGCGGCGCTGACGAACTGGACGGTCAATCTGAGTCGCGAGTATATCTCGATTCCGACGGAGGTGTATGAACTGGGCGCGTACGTATTTTTCCTTCGGTTCGGTTCCGTCGTCCTACAGTTCTAATTGTGATGTGTTGTGGGATAGCGGTGCCGGGTCGGACTACATGTCCTTCACGCAGCTCAACTACCCGTCGGCCTTTGCGTCGGAGGGCAACCCCCTGGCCGGCGGGAGAATGCCGGGCAACTTCGATCCGTACGTCCATGGCGTCAACGATACGATGGACGTGGACGATGAGACGGGGTATTTCTCCATTGACGTGAGTGGTTTCCCGGTCTTGGTCGTGCTCATTACTCACATTTGCGGAACAGCACATGGCTCGCTTCAGCGAGTTGGCGATCGCCTTTGCCGTGGAACAGGGTGGTTGGGATAACAAGTGGCGGTAGGCGATTTGTTTTATGACCATGTACTGTACCAACTGTCGGTGTACATGAGCCTGGGTCGTCGGGTCACATGGATAGCTATTGAGAAGTTGCCGTTTGTCTTTCCGTCCTTCCCAGAGAATGAGCCCACTTTCCGCCAACCTCCTCTCCCCTCTTATTCTTCTCTCTGGCCCATTCTACATCGTTCGTACCCCAAAGAATCATGTGATTCTCGCCCCATTTCTCGAAAACAGCAGTGCTGTCTATCACACATCGCAAAGCTGGAGCATGTCACAGATGTCTAAACAGCTCTGGATAAAAACATCCGGCTTGGGAGACGGCAACCCTCGGGGACTGCGTGTGAAGTCGGAAGGGGTCCCAGTCAACATACATGTCGATCGATGGAACAAGGAAGAAGTAATAATTGATCCCTCTGCTTGTGAACCGGTGGTATGTGTAGATGAGAGAGCAGGGATTGTAGTAGGGCTACGGTTTGACCCGGCGATACTGCGTGGCGTATAGTTCTGATTCGAGTAGCTCGGCTGCCTGGCCCACGAGCTTTATTGGAGTACCAATTCCCTAGTCCTGCGACATGCGGCAGATCATGTTGGTCGCTGCACTGAGCAGTTTCGAGATTTATTGGTTGGGTCCGTCAGTATCCGCTCCGGCCTGCGAAGCAGTGCCCAGAGAAGAGAGGGGATGGCGATTTAGCCAACTAACTCATGATCGCCTCGGTGGAAGCACATCGAGTATTTGTCAGGTGCTGTGCAGGAATCCCAGGAGAGGAGAGTAGACATGGTCTTCCTACAACTTCGGCTGTGGAGCTTGAAGGCCGAATGGCGAAACGGCTGTCCGATCCCCTCGCCCGCAACAGAGCCACTCCACCGAACCGAACGGCACCTCAATGGGACGAAATCAAATGGTTCCAAGAGCTGCAAGTAGGGGCTTGCTTAACAGGCTGAGGCCATCAAAACAAAAAACCTTGCTCCCCCGTAGATAGTAGGGACAAGTCAACGGATCAGCCCCCCTCAGAGCCATGACTCTTTGCATGCCGACTGGGAAAGGCGTGGGGCATGAGCGGGAAGGAGACGAAGGATTCAGGAGAAGCGCGCCACATAAGTTACAGTATGTATCATCACCTGTGCTCGGGTTTGTTCATCTCGATAGGCCATCCAGCTGCCACGGTACCCTTCAAGACCACTAGGTACCCGTACATCAATATCTGCATACGTGCGGTGAGATTCTACCATTCCAACTGGGGGGGTCCATCAAGTCATCTTGACTCTTAATTCGATTGATTTCTGCAGTGAGATATCAGGCTTCCCTTTCGAGGCTGCTATTATCAAAAGGAACAGTCGCAGTACACACAGTTTCCCCCGATAGCCAGCCCTAATGACCCTCCTCCAATCCAAATCAATACCCCCCATACCCCCCATCCACCTCCCATCCCCGATCAAAGAAAACTAAGAACACTCCACAAACCCATCATAACTACTCGCCCCGGTGTGGGTGATCACGCCGGCCAACTGATCGTTGGAGTTGAAAATGACGCGATCCGCCCCCGGCGATCCCCCCGTGTACACCTTGAAGCTGCTCAGGATTGGGTACTCGTAGTAGGTGCCGGACACGCCGAACGCGAACCCCTCGTCGTCGCGGTAGACGTGCGGGTAGTCGTCGATGGTGTCGCCGGACTCGTGCAGCGACCACCCCTTCGCTTGGGCCGCGCTGACGTCGCTCGCCCAGTAGCAGGTGCTGCCGCAGGTGTAGGCGCAGGATTCTTCGGCCTTGGGCTCGGGGGCGGGGGCGGCCAGGACCAGCGAGGTGGTGAGGAGGAGGGGGAGGAGGATTGTCTTTGTCCCCAGGGATTAGTTGGGGGTTTTGGGGGTAGGGGGATGGGGGATGGGGGCTTACCTTGATAGCGGACATTTTGGTAGCTTCGGTTTTTTGTATTGGATAGGGCTGGGGATGGACTGAGGTGGTTTGTGCTGGGTAGGTTGGGTTGGACTGATCTGAGGCGAGATAACCAGGCCTATTTATCCCTTCCCCCTGGAAGTCTATCTAGTACCCAGACAGCGTCAACGGACTCCTCCGATCCCCGACATGTCAATCAAGTCTAATGCATGAAGCTCCGAGTGAGGTAACATCGGTGCCTTTGGAGCTGCAGCTGCATTGCAGTGCAGTCGAGATTATCTTCAGGGAATGGGCCAAGCAACGCAGACCACTGGTCGATTAGGGTTCGACGGGGTATGTTTTCTTCAGGGACTTCCGACGGAGATCCCGGGCGCCCCGGGGATGCGGACTCACACCCAATCATTTGGATAGATAACGGCATGTGGCGGGGAGGAGGCACGGGAGGCGCCGATCTGTACCCTGGTTTTTAGTATCTTTTACTTTCCAGGGTCAGGAGTACTATACTTGCTTCAGGTTGTATCGTGCGTTGCTTGCCGCACGTTGGCTTTTGTAGTTGGTTTGGTGGTTGGGTTGGTGGTCGTGGTGGGGCGTGGGTTTACTGCTGCTCCTGCTGCTACTGCATCACTCAGCTAACATGCCATCATCACGGGTAAGGACTTCTCCGATCTGCTGGGATGTGCTTTCAGGTTGTTGTTGGATGTTACCAGGAAATTGCCTTGAATCTTTTGTTGCACTTGTATAGAATAAGGGCTTGGGCGGAGTCAATGGGCTTGGGTCTTTGTTCACGGACCGAATGGGATATGTTCTTTGCTGAACATGGACAGCCTCAGATTAGATGTATTTCGCTGCTGTATAAATACCAGGTTCATGTCTTCCAGTTTCACAGTAAATATCATCTCCATCGCCTGTCGGTAAACAAACTCAGAATCCAACGCGCATCACCTACCGTACAGTCGGCAAACTGCAACTGCAATCTAACTCCACCATCCTAGAAACAGCAAAATGAGTACGCTCCTCATCTCCGCCTGGATGTGCCAGTACCTCCACCAGCTAACGCAGAACAGCGGTCTGACAGACTACCACTCCACCGCGCAGGACCTCTACCAAACCTTCCGGGAGCTGGTCTACGACCGCCGAGGCTACCTGCACCTCGAAGAACTGGCCCGCAACTCCTGCGAGGACCCATCATCGACCTACACCCTGCACATCGGCCACCTGCGCCAGGCCGCCCTCCAGCTCCTCGATCTCGGCGGGAAGCTGGCCGCGCTGGACGCCTCCGCGGCGGTCGCCACACAATCCCTGAACACCTCCACCCCGCTCCCCACCGCCGACGTCCTCTCCGCCATCCAGACCTCCCAGGACGTCGAGACTGCGCGCTGGCACCTCCGCGACCAGATCCGGCGGACGTTCGACACCGCGCGGTGGTGGCTGCAGGACCTGGGGGCGGTCATCACCGACGAGCTCGAGGACGAGAAACTCCCCCCGCCGCTGTGGCAGCAGATCGCGGACAAGCGGTTCCACGCGGAGGGATACCGGGGGTTTGCGGCGCAGTTGGAGGCGTGGTTTGCGAGGCGGCGGCGGCAGCAGCAGCGGCAGAGCACCGTTCGTGATACTGTTCGTGATCCCCAAGATCCACGCAAAGAGTTCACACTCACCCCGCTCCACCACCGCCTCATCCGCCTCAACATCAAACGAAGACACTACATCCTCGCGCTCCAACAGCACTCCTCGGACGTGTACACCCTCGACCAGCTCCACGCCTTCCAGGAGCGCGGCGTGAACTTCCCCGCGCCGCCGCACGCCGACGCCGTGATTCACGGGTACTGGACGCAGCCGCCGCCCTCCACCACCAATTCACAAGAATCAGAAACAGCAACCTTCCAATGCCCCTACTGCCTCACCCCGGTCCCCACCTCCTTGCTCGAAGACAAATCCTCCTGGCGCAGCCACCTCACCGCCGACCTCCGCCACCTCACCTGTCTTTACCCGGCCTGCGAATCCCAAGAAGCCGAGGGGTTCGTCACGGTGCACGGCTGGGTGGAGCACCTCGCGACGGGCCGGAATATCGGCGCGGAGTATGATTCCTTCTTCGATGCTGCGTCGACCACAAAGGATGCCGCTGGGGCTGGGGCTGGGGCTGCAACACCCCCCAAAAAGGCGGGGAGGGTTCCGCATACGGGATTTCCGGATACATGTCCGATTTGCCTGTGGCAGCCCCATGATAGGGAAGGTGATGGTGAGGGGGCGATGCTCGTGCATCTGGAACTCGAATTGAGGTTCTTGGCAATGTTGGCGATTCCCTGGGCAGCGGAAAAGCCGTATGTGCTTTTTGGGGAGGGGGCGTGGGAGGAATGGGTTGAGAGACAGGTTGGGTTGAAGGAGGAGGTGAATGAGTGGGTGGATTTGGGTTTGTTGGAGGATTGCGAGGATGGGCAAGGGGAGGGGGAGGGGGAGGCTTTGGAGAGGGCGGCGATGGGGGTGGATTGATTGATTGATTGATTGATTGATTGATTGATTGATTGATTGATTGATTAGCTCGGCTCCCTTTCTTTTTCTTGTGAATGGGGTGAGTAAGCTGTAATCGTGTCTTTGTTTTTGGAATTGAAGATCGTTTATGGAAATGGATGAAGTTTGTTTTTTCCCTTTGAAGTTGTTTTGGGTAGTAGTGTATGTACTCGTAAGGAGGGTAAGAGGGAGAACGAATAGCCTCTTCTTCACGTATATCTGCATTGGCGTATACACATGAGGGGCAGTAGTTCTCGGGTGGAAGGATGCGCAACCAGGCAAAGGCATTTTGTGGATATTGGCTGACCCTGGTTCAGTGTACTGCCAGAAATAGCCATTGAATGATGGAAGAGATTCTTGTCGGGCTGCATCGCGCGGCTGAAGGCTGTCATTGGAGAACAGATAACTTTCGAGTTTATCTTTGATGCAGATTGTACTCGATGCTATCAAACTGACGGCTGTCGAAGGAACCCGGAAAAGAACATCATCCCTGATCAAGGTATCTTTATTTGTGCACAGCCAACCGCACAATGCTTTCACTCTATTCTACAGTCTATACAATCACCCAGCCAACTCCGGCCAATACTTCTTCACTATCGTCTTCTTGTTCACCTTGCCCATGGCATTGCGCTCAATCGCATCCACCAGCTTCAGCACCGTCGGCACCTTGTACGCCGCCATCTCCTGCTTGAGCTGCGCGCGCAGACTGCCCAATTCCAGCGGCTCCGTCTGCGTATTGATGTCAGTGGTCT